TGTCCCTGCTGGGAGCTGCCAGCAGCCGACGGCGCCTGGATCCCTGGCTGGACACGCTGCGGTGAAGCCGGCGGGGCGTGGAGAGCGTCCGGGCCCGGCCGAGGCCAGGGGGCAGCGTGGAGATCGTGAGCTGGACTTCCTGTGCAACGTCCACCTCGGAGTAGATGTTCTCAGGGCTGAGGTCCCGGGGCGACCCCCGGCCCACGGCGTAGAAGGGGATGGGCTCGTCAGGCTCGTGGTAGATGCGGTGCTCGGGGAGCACGGGCCCCTCACAGGGCTCGGCGTAGGTGTGGAAGCGCAGCAGCTGCTGGTACTTGGCCTCGGGGGCGGAGGGAGGGGTGGGGGGTGCTGTGGCCATCCAGGGGCTGCTGGGGACCCGAGTAGCCTTGGCAGGGAGCAGGGGGCCGGGACAGGCAGCCTGGGGGAGCAAAGATGCAGTGAGTCTGGGGCCGGAGAAGCAAAACCGTGCTTGCCCCTCATCCGGTCCCATCTCACCTCTGGCGAGGAGCAGCCCTGGCCGGTGGCTTGGCGCTGCTTGTGCACGACGCTGTACGCTGGGCTCAACGCAGCGTGGGGGAGCATTGCTGCCTCGGCCCCTGCTGGGATCCCGGTGCCTACTGGGTCCTTGTTATTCTGCAGTAAAGTTTGGGGGAGGAGAGGGGGGAGCTGAGCAACAGCACCGCTGCAAAGAGAAGTGCATGGCACGGGTGCAAAGCGCAGGCCTGGGCATCAGGACACCTGGGGTCTACTCCCCCCAGCATTGGGCGGAGAGTGTCTGTAAGAGCCAGGACGCCTGGGTTTTTTTCTCTTCTCTGCCCTCCCCTCTCCCAGCTTGGGGTCATGTTCTCTGTAATAGGGGTGCAATTCTGCCCTGTTGTAGCTTAGGGAAGGGTAATGGGGCTATTTCTGCCCCTGCCTGCAATTTTGACCCTGTCTCTGCTGCCCATGCCCCTTTTGTGCGGGCTGGAGAATCCCCAGTGATGCTACAAGGCTCATGACACACATGGCAGAGACAAGCCCCCGCTGCTGCCCTGGCAGTCCAGACGTGTCAGGGCAGGTGGAGACAGCATGGCAGGGCCCCTCTTACCCAGGCACAGGGCACGGTGAGGAGCTCGTAGTAGGGGTGGATGGGGGCCGAGGTATAGTGCTGTAGCAGCTCTTGCAGCCTGGTGTGAGCACTATCCTCCCCCAGGATCACATAGTGCCCATCCTCCAGCTGGTCCAGGATGTAGTGCCGGCAGCGATCCCAGCCCCTGGGGAAACCGAGGCAGCCCCTGAGAGCCTGGCTGGGCTGGGGGTGACAGGTGAGAGCCTGGCTGGGCGAGGGCAATGTGTGTCTCTGGATCCTCCTCCCGGGGTCCTCACCCAGGGCTCCCATCCCAGCCAGGGCAACCGGGGGCAGACTCCGGGGACACCTGGGTGCTCACCTGTAGGACAGCACGAAGCCAACTGTGCTCTCGCTGAAGCGGATGAGGTAGCAGCCCAGCGGCTTGTCCTGCAGCAGCTGCTCGGACTCCCTGTGCGGAGGGGGAGAAGGACACGTGGGCACGTCTGAGCACATGGGAGCCTGGGGCACCCATGCTGCTCGGAGCCCGGGGCACCCGGTGCTTGGCCCAAAGCAGATCTGAGGGCATCTCAGGTCAAGCCCAGCTTGAGAACAGGGCAAAAAACCCAGGTGTCCTGGCTCTGCCCACCCAACAACACTCCCTCCCCAGGGCTGGGAGGAACCCAGGCGTCCTGGCTCCCATGGTTTCTGCTCTGGTCCCCAGGGCAGGTAAGAGAACCCGGATGTCTGGGCTCCCCTTCCCTTCTGCGCTACCGCTGGGCCCCGCTGCTCCTCCCGCCCTGGCGCTGTATTCCCATGGGGGTGCAGGACCGTGACGGTCTGGGGAATGCTATTCCCGGGGCGACCCCAGCACCCCTCTGCCCCTCACCTCCTGCTGAGGAAGCCGTGGAACCAGTCGGGGCGCTGGCCATCGGGGAGGACTCCGCTTGCCTGCGTCTGCTCGAACCAAGCCTGGGTGCTGGCCCGGAGCGCAGCCGCAGCTTCGCCAGAGCCTGGGACCAGCCAGGGTAGCCTGGCAGCTGAGGCAGAAGGGGTCTGCAGGGGGAGGAGGGAGAACAAAAGAGCCCTGCATGAGGATGGGTGGCTGCAACCCACTCTGTGCATGGGGGGCTGCCCACCGCAGCTGCAGGGCAAGGGTTAGGATTAGCGATAGGGTTAGGGAAGGGCAGATAGAATTGCCCTGGTCCCGCAGTGTGGCTATTATCTACCTATAGCTGGCAGACAGACAGGGTGCCAACACCACACACTGACCCTGTTCAAGCCCTGCACAGCCCTGCCCTCCCCGGCCCACACCTCCCAACACCTACCTGGCTGGAAGGGGCGTGTTCCCTCTGGGAGCTGGGGTGCAGCTGTCCCTGCTGGGGCCCAGCCAAGGCCTCCCTACATCCCTCCAGGGCTGGGGCTGAGCCCTCAGATCTGCCCAGGCCAAAGGGGTGGAAGGTACTGAAGAGCAGGGGCTCCAGGGGCTCCAGGCCATCGGCTCCTGCACAGGGTGGAGAGATGCAGGATCAGGCCCTGCCTCGACACCCTGCCCTGGCTCCCACCCTCCCTTCAACAGCAGGAGCAAGGGAAGCCCCCAGGGAGGGTCTGGGGGTGGGAGATGAGATCTGGTAAGGAGCTCGGGACCTGCAAAGTGGTCTTGGGGTGGTGGGGAGCAGGATCTGGGGCTGCCTGGACATGAGCCAACAAGGCGGCTGCAGCAATGGTGACTGTGCTGGGGCATGCACAAGCGTGTATGTGGGTGAATATGTGTGTGTGTGGAGGGGGCTGGCTCTCCCCAGCCATGCGGCAGGAGCATGATGCCCAGATTTGGGCTGGAGAGTGGATGCAGAGGCGCTGGCGGGGGTTCAGGGCAGCACAGCAAGGCTGATAAGACGCTTGGGAATGCAGCTGGGCGTTGGCAGGGGCAGAGAACAGGCTGCAGCCACGTCGCAGGCTGCCCCGGGGCCCTGATGCGGGGTTTGGGGGTGTAAAAGCAATGGGCTTTGTTTGCAATTGGGGTGCTCCTGGGGAAATCTTCCACCGTGCCCCAATACTTGAGCCCGAGGGCTGCTGGCTCCTGCGCATGAGCTTGACATTTCTCCTTCCTGACCTGCCCTCCAGGCACTTGGCAATGGGGAAACTGAGGCCTGGGGACTGTTGTGCTTGCAGGGAGAGTCTTGAGCATGGGGGTGACTCGCAGCTCATTTCCCCTTCCCCAGACTCTGTCCTTCATCTCAAAGGGGACAGTCCCAAAAGCTCAACCTGGATGGCTCAAAGGCCTGGAGCCGCCTTTCAGCCCCCGCACGGGTTTCACACGCCGCTGGGGGAAGCGATGGGATCCCCAGTGAACAGCCAGCCTCTGAGGGCAGCTGTTTCCCCGTACAAGCCAGGAGGGCTGAAAAGAGTCTTCCCCAGGGGGAACAGTTGCATCTTCACCCTGGGGTTTGCTTGCAGCGCACTCAGCACCGCCCCAGAGCGGGCCCAGAGTGGAGGCTGCCTGATGCAACCAGGCTGGGGCCCAGGTTTTGGTGACGGGTAGATAAACTTCCTGTGCTGGTCGGTGCCCCAGATCCTTCGCCTGTGCTGAGAAAGTTTCAGCTGCCCTGGCTGCTGGGCTAGGGAGTGGGAGCGCATGGACGGGGCCTGGGAGCTGGGGCAATGCCTCTTCAACACCCCCCCAGGACATGGGAAAAGGCTGTGTGATAACATGCAGCGCCTGGCACCGGAAAGACAGTGATCCTGGTGCAACAAGACCCAGGTGGAGATCTGAGGGGAGGTTGAATAGTTTGAGAAGTGAGACGGGACAAGAAGCATCATTAACGATGCTTAGAAAACGAACCTGTTGAGACATGGGTGCCCCGGCGCTCTGCCCATGCCACCTTTTGGCGTCTGTTTTGTGCAAAGCCAAAATAATGGAGCAGAACAGAGCTCCCGACCCTGCCGTCTGATCCCTGCCGATGCCCGCGATCTGGTCTCTGAGCCCAGGGGCAGAGCCTGACCCATTGCAGGGCGACATGTAACGAGTGAGGTAGGTCTCAGCCCAAGCCCTTCCAGGCAGGGGTGTGTATTGCCCCCCTCAACAGCTGGATCCCTCCTGGGGCCAGCTCTGTAACAGGCCTGGGCTCCCTCCCACTCTCCTGGCGATGCTGGAGCGGTCCTGCCAGCTGGGGGGTGGGGGCACCCAGCAGCCCTCTACCCGCCCCACCAGGCCCAGGAAGCTGTAGGATTTGAGGAGTCTACTCCAAGCACCTTGCAAGCAGCCCTTGCTGCCCCCAGAGC